AAAGCATTACCAAACAGCACCAGAAAGGACTCAATCAATTACCACAATAGGTATGTGGGAAAGAGAACTCTAATCAATCACTACACAAGAAGTAGAATCCCAACTATTCAAAATTTTGCACCAAATCAGGAAGAAGTAATGCACACTACCTATACAAGAGAGTGTTGATCATGATAGCTCTCCATCAAGAATTTTAGAAGAAATAAACTAGCAATTGACAAACACCTCGAGCGACATTGAAACTATGTTTCACACCAATGAGCCCTCAACTCTTCACTTAGTCACTCTTCTCATGAACTCCTTCACATTAGTAATCAATTGGTTATTAACTTGACTCCTTTATGTGCAGGACAAACGAAATCTCTCTCTGTGAGTGACAACCCTCAAAGACTTCATCTCGCTCAATGATAACAAGAAAAAAAATTGGCTTTAAATCCATCTCTTGATCCCACACTTACTATATAAATTCAAGCTATTGAAAAATACAAACAACAACCACTTTCCCTCATGGCTCAGTGCTCCATTACGAACCAAAAAAATTACAAAATTGCCTTGACCATTCCCCACTAGAAGACAGCTATGGAGGAAGAGATGAATGCCTTAAAAGTTAACAACACTTAGGCCCAATCACATCAATATCCTTGGATCCAAGAAATAAAACAAAAACTATTTTGACAAAAACATAAAGACAGAATTTAAATGCAGAAAACGAAAAATTGTAGAAATTAAAATATAATCTAAAAATGTAAAGACATTGGGGGGTGCAGTTGTTAAGGCAAAAAAGGAGGGTACTTCCTTTTCACTAGTCTAGTTGAGCTTCCTTCTAAGCTCTCTTCTCCCTCTGAAGAGTCGCCCATGGGCTTATATTCTTTTTCAGAGCTGCCAGACTGCTCCAGCAAAACTTTCAGGCCAGCAGGAGGTGCAGTAAATGCAGACGGTGTCGCTTCTTTACCTGATTGGCAAAGGCCGACTGCGGCTCTTCCATACGCATTAGCAGCTTTTGGAGCTTTGCAAATTGGGCCATCAAATGGCATTGCTCCACGCCATGTAGGGTCTTGGAGCATCAAACGCTGCAGCATATTCTTGTTTATCACCAGCTTGTCTTTAAGAGGCTTCTCATCGTCAAGGATGGGAACATCTCTGCGGAGGCAGAGCTTGGTGATGAAGTTGGGGAAGAATAGGCGGCTGGTTCGCTTTGCAGCACATTGGCGATCTCCCTGTGTATGAGTTGGCCAACGTCTATTGAGAGCCCCTCTAGGATGCAAGCTAATAGAAGGACCCTGTCCTTTGTAACAGACGAATCATACGTTGTCGGCATGATTCGGCTCTTAACAAAGTAGAGCCAAACGTTAAGTTCGGTAGTGAGCTGACCAGATTTTAGCGAGCGGGCGTATTTGTCTGTGACCTGCCGCGAGGCGCCTTCTACCCCTACAAGCTATAGGGCATGGTCAAGCTCTCTGATAGAGGACTATTGGACAAGCTCAGTAAACTCGGCTCGCGCGTTGCTTGGGAGCTTGAGGATTTTGTTGATCCTCTCTGGCGTCCAATCCACCTCAACCTCCCGTACCACTGTACGGCCCACCCTGTTAGCATAGTAGTTGGAGTAAAACTCTCGCACCAGTTCCGTCAGCACTGGCATAGGGGCACACAAAAATGCTCCCACTTCAGCTTCAATGCTCCCTCCTTCACGAATTGGGGTATGTCTGCCTTTAGAAAGCCATTCTCTAGGTAAAGATCTCTACTCATAATGGTTCTATAGTTAGCCCGCGTCGCTGAGTCCACGAACTTCTAAAAGGATACCTGGTGTGAAGGCACGATGTTGATGTGCTTGGTGAAGCTCGGCGTTGGTGGTACCTGCAAAACAAATGGCACGCTACTGCGCCGCTTCCCCTCAGATGGGGAAGCAAACTTGACCGATTTCCATCTGGCGGGTGGTGGTGGAGGTATTTTTGGGTCTTTTAGCTTTTTGGTTGGGCTAGGGCTAGATAAGAATGGTGATGGGCGTTTGGTTTTACGGGTTCG